GGGTGCCGCGAGGGGGCGGGGCGCGGCGGCGTGCGCGGGCGGCTCCTGCGCGTGCCCGCCGAGGCGGCGGCGACCGTGTCCCGTAGCCGAGTCTCACATCCGGGTTCCGGCCGTGACCTAGCCGCGGCCGGCGCGGAGATGTGACCCGGCAGGACGGCGAACATGGCGGAGGTAAGGGAGCGCGCTCCCTCCCGCCCGAGCTGGCGCCCGGAGCCGCGGCGCGGAGCGCGTCGGGCTGGGCCTGCCGAAGCTGCCCCGGCTCCGCCGCCCACCTGTTGTCCGGAGCAGGCCGCGCGGCGGGCGGGGGGGCCCCGGAACTTAGTTGGGCCGGGGCCGGGGGACCGAGGGGGGCGGAGAAGCGGTGGGACGGGGGTCCGCGGGGAGGGGGCCCGGTCGCGCGACTTCCGCCCGGGCTGGGGGCCGCAGCGCAAGTTTCTCTGGGCCGGGGTGAGGGGTGGGCGGGCAGGGAGAGGCTCCGCACCCCGGGTCCCCGCTTCTTGGCACCCCCGCGCCTCCGAGTTGCTTTCACGCTTTGAACCCCCTCCCTATCCAGAAATTGTGTCCTCCTTCCAAATCAGAGCTCCCTCTTACTTTCCTTCTCTTTGCTTGGAGGTTTTCCTCGTTTCTCTCTGCGCATTTTCCGGTAAACAAGTTTTCTCAGCCCCTTCTGTCCGCGCCTTTCTTGTGTGAGCCTCAGCGTGGGCAGAGACCGAGCCCGGGCTGTAATTACTTGGAACTTAGGATGGGCTGTCGGAACTTCGGTGTGGCCTCTCACGTAAGCTCTTGAACATCGGAAATGTTAAGCTTGTTTTGTTTACTTTTTCCCAGCCCGTGAAAGAAGTTTGCGTTTCTTTCCCCCGAAGTTCAGAGCGATGTCTTCGGACTTCTTGTCCGCTTAGAGATGAGCCACTGTGAGGGTTTGAGTGATAAGGCATCGCTTGCTCAGAGTTGCCATTTTCGAGGCTCGAAGTCAGGAAGTAGGTAATTTATTTATTTCCAGCCCCCACTGTTCAACTCTTTTATCTGCCATGTGAAGTTGCTGCAGAGTCCCTTTGCCGATATCATAAGATCCTTTTTAAACCTTAGAATACAGAAAGTGGGTAGCTTCTGTCTGAGGCCTTCCGTGGACCTGTTGAGTGGAGGGACCTAGAGGTTTGTTTCCGGAGTAGCTCTTGGGATGTTACTTCTGCTTCTCCTACAGAAACGAGCTTTGTGTTTATGTTCTGGAGGTTTTGCTGTTACAGGAGGAGGGGATTTTACTGTAGCAGCACTGTTTGCTGCCACTATTCTTTTAAAAACATTTAATGTTTCTATTTACCACTAAATTTAGAGCTTAATTTTATTTTCATGCCTTTTGCTCTTTGTAGTTAAAGAATTATGTTTCAGGGCACCCTAGTCAGAGAACACAGTACTTTCTGTTTCCCCTAAATGACTGGTTTTAATCGAGGACACTGAGTCGGGTCCTGGGAGTGGTGGCATGTAGCTGGTTTACTGCTGTTGCATCAGTCTAAAGTGGACTGAAAAAGTGAACACTCGTTAGATTAGCAGCATCGTGCTACATGGATAATGCGTTTCTTCTTATGGTGCTGCTGTCATGGTTTGAGAGTTAAGTTAAATTGCCATACTTCAAGGCAAGTTGTTACTGAAAGAAATATATATGAAATTCATTGACATTTCGCCTAGAAGTGTATTAAATTGATATTTTTTTCTTTTCAAAATGAAAGATGGTTGCACTGATGTAAGACAAGGAAGCAGTATTTTTAGTCACTAGTTCTTTCATCATATTTTCTAGCATATATGGTTTAGGGTTTTTTTGGTACCTGGGATCAAACTCAGGTGCTTACGCTTGCAAGGCAGGCAGCAGAACCACTGTGCTAAATCCCCGGCCCTGTTTTAGGTTTTTTAAAAAACATTTCATTAGGAGAATGGAATTCCTTTTACAAGAACTGATGGATGGTTCAGTTTCAAGCAGGAGAAAAATCTGAATTTTGTGCTCAGTGCATTTATTTAATGACCTAGTCTCTTTAAATCATTATTTATATTTTTCAGTTATTTGTAGATGGTTTTATTTACAGTAACTTCAGAGGAAGGTTTTTTTTGATGTGTCCTACAAGAAATTCTAGACGAAGAGATGAAAAGTAAAATTAATGTATAATTTTCTTAAACTTACTACTTTAGTAGTTGGGATGATTTTTAAGACCAATAGTTCAAAAATTTCATGAAAGAGAAACTTGATGATAGATGCTTTTACTTTATGATGCTTGTGATAAAATTATTCTTTGCTGAACATTGTGTTTTTGATCAAGTAGATGTGAAGAGGGAAAAGACAGGTTATTGAGGAAATATGTCTCTAGAGGAAATGGAAGGTACTGTGCTTTTGGATTTTTTTTTCCATATTGTTTATTATATGACAGAATGATCCTGATTTGTTTTCTTAGAAAAAATACTTAAATTCTTGAATATAAATTGTTTTCAGTGTGAATAGGATACTAATTTTTTTATACTTAAAATGATCTTGGTGAATCTGTAATAGAAGTATATGTATTTAAAGGTTCTTCAGTTGTGATAACATTAAAAATATTTAATGTGCTTGGAAGAAATTGTGTATGGCCCCTTCTTAAGTACTTTTCGGTAATATTTCTCATAGCTTGTCCCTTAAAATTATTTACCAACCATCTACAAAGAGGCCCCTCCAACTCTCACTTAAAGGGAGGAAATTACAGAGTAGTTACAGTTTTACAAAGGCAATGAGAGAGAAATGAGGAAGAAATAGTTGTCCTTTGGGTTTTATAAGGAATGTGGGGCAGGGACCTTTGGGAATGAACAATTTGTCATTTGTTTCATAGTTTGTAAACACATAAGGGACCATATTTCTCAAGGAAAAGAAGCCACAGTATAGTGCAGGACCTCTTTTTTTACCTAAGCCTCATTTCTGTAGAGAAGAAAAATTGAGTGTATTTGCTTAATGTAATTAGTATGAAGTATTTTACTATTTCCAAAACTGTACACAAAGTATTCTCTATCACATCTGTCCATTCATTTCTCTTAAAAACAAACTCCTTTCTTAGCATTTCTTGAAAATACTTGTGTTTCGTTTTTTAGGAAACAGATTCATGTTAATTGTTTCTTTTCAAAGTGTTAATTTGTACACTAAAAACTTGTTTCAGTGCAACGAATTTAAGCTTTAAGTAATTCTCTGTACTTGCAAAAAAAAAAAAATTTTTTTTTAGTATTTGTACTTCAGAGCTGCTAAGATCTGATCCAAAGTACGGTTGGCAGGGATTCCAGTGCATGATGGTCCTAAAAAGTTTAAATTTCATAGGAGTAAGAACTGAAGTATCCAGCTGGGCTTGGTGGCACACTGCTGCAGTCTTGTGCTCTGGGAGGTTGAGACAGGAGGATCCCAAGTTCAGGTGCAGCTGGGCAATTTAGGGAGACCTTATCTCAGAATAAAAATTAGGAAAAGGCTGAGGCTGTAGCCCAGTGTGAATGTCCTGTGTTCAGTCCCCTGTACCAAAACAAGATACAAATAAAGCGAGAGCTGAAGTATATGATAATTGAACAAAGGATTGGTGGGAGAAATAAATGAATCACTTAAAGATAATTCTGTTATGTGAAACTAATCAGTTTCCCAAATAATTTAGGAATAATCACTATCACTGAAGCTTAAGGAGATCTTTATGAAAAGCAAATAGCCATAGAAATTTCTTGCTTGATGTTCAGATTAAATCCTTATGCAAATGGGTTCAAAATTCATTACAGTGATTAAACTTTTCATTGCTTATGAGCTTATTCTATGGCTTAGAACTGGCTGTTTTAATTATCCTTAGAAATAGGAAAATTTCAAAGTAGCACCCTGAAATAGTGTTTTACAAATTGAGAGTATCTTTTCCTGTTAGTCATAGATTTTTTTAAAAATTCAGAAGGAACTGTTAAGTATAGCCCATCCACTTAGCTGAGTACCCCTCAGTAGTGTTCATATTTTGAATAATTCATAGTGAAAGTAAAGAACTTAAATCTCCAAGGAAATTGAACTAGAAGAAATCTACATCTTTTCATCATAGAGAAAATGAAACTGAGAAAATGACTTTAGCAGTTTCTCTCGGGTCATACAACTAGTTTGGTACAGTGAAGAGTACAAGCCAAACTTTGAATTCCTCGAGTTTATTTTCCATAATGCCATTCTGTCCTCCAAATTATTACTACTGTAGTAAATTTGCTGGTTTTAATTCCAATACATAGTTAGCCTTTTTATACCTTAGGTTCCCGACAGTCACAGCAAGGTGAAGACATTTTTCCGTGGAGGAGGGGGATGCTCAGCCCTTGGCACTTGGCGCCCCTGGGTTTGCACCCTGCAGGGGTTCAAGGCTGGCCCTATGTCCTGTACCTGCAGGGCTGTGAGAAACTTACTTAGCCTCCGTGTAGCACTCAGAATGGTGATGAAATTGGTTTAAGGGGAAAATTTTTCAGATAATTGCATTGGAAATAAGCTCTTGATTGCCTGGAATAAAAAGATCTAATGTACACTTCATGTTTTTATCACATTAATTTTTAAAATAAAAATAATAACACTCTAGGCTTTTTCCTGGAGTTGTCATTTTCTGTTGTGTGGGAGATTTCCCACCATTTCCCATCGTGTTCTAGAAAAGTGTAAAAGAAACATTTGAATACATCTGAGGTATTATTTGTTACAACTGTTAGCAATTTTATCAAATAAATCATGTAAACATATTGGTGAGAGTGGGAAGGTATAAAAGTAATCTTTTTTAAAATTTGATTTAGCCTGCTTTGTGTGTCTGTCTGGCATTAGTGTCCATCTCAAATAAAAACGTGTACCAAAAAGAAAATTATAATCTTTCAAAATTATAATTTAAAAATTGTATCAAGTACTAGGTTTTAAAAATTAAAAAGTAAGGAAAGAGAAAATGGTTTATAATTTCACGAGAAATCATTGCTGACCACCTTAAAAAAGAATGAGTAACGGATGAAAATGACTAGAAAATTCCAGTAGTACAGAAAATATAAAATGAAGAGCCTCCTTTCCCTGACCCATTCCCTGAAGTAACTTAACAGATTCATATGTATCTTTTTGAAGAAAAAGAAATTTATGAATATTCTAGTTCAGTGTTCTGCATTTTCTTCTAGCACTTTTTTTTTTTTTTTTTACATTTTTTTCTCTTAACACAAACGTTTTCATTTTAATGGAGTCATACTGTTTCATTGTTTGGAGGAGCTGTATCATTTCTAGCTAATTACATGTTGGATTTTCAGTTCCCCTCAGCTCTTTGCTGGGAACAACACTGTGATAATGGATGGTACACAGATCTATCTTAGTGTACTTTCTAGGTGTATCAGTAGGGTTCAGTTCATGCTCGCAGAGTGATCTCTCCAGAATGGTTGAAACAACTCATTTTTACCAATAATGTGAGTGCATTTTAAGTAGATTTTAATCCCCAATATAGAATTTTTGCTGTCTACACTCATGGCTTGAGCATTTTCTAAAAATAGCTTCTATATAAATGTTTGTGTACCTTAGATTTTGCTTTTGTAGTTGACTGTGCAATTAATGGTAGATATTGTAGCTTTTCCTGGAGAGCATTGTTAGATGGAGATAACAGCTTCTAAAGAGATGTAGATAACAGTCTGGCATGACAGACGTTGCTTGTGTTCATGTATTAAATATGCTGTGAACTGTTAAAACTTTTTAGAAGGAAAGAGAAAGTAATAAAGGAAAAAAGAGGTGAGGACAGGGGAAAAAAAAATGATGGGATTGTTTCTGTAGAAGGCACACAAGGAGCCCTGAGGAGTCAGGTCCCAGCCTTCAGGCTGCCTTTGCCACCGCCAGGGAGCTCAGTCCGTGGTTCTGTGTCCTCAGGTCCGCTAGTCCACAGAATGAGGCAGGCGGAGTAGGTGTTGGCATTGCCACAGTTACCATTATGGACCTATGACTGTGCCCTGGGAAACGCGGGTGGCCTTACGTAAATGTAAGCGCCTTCTGTTTCTTTTTCACTTCGAAATAAACATTGCCCTCGTTCTAGACTGAAACCTCTTGCATTATGATAGAAAACTTGTATTTTATCTTGAAAGATAATCATTTTGTCAATTGAACAAAGTCATACTCACAGTGTGAACTGTTCAAATGCCAGTTTTCAGAAGCTCATCTTTGATTTAATTGGATATAATTAACTTACAAGGAACTAATCTCCTCCCTCCTAAATTGATACAATAGAGTTTTATTGTGGGCATAAAATACTAAAATGTGGCCAGATACTGAGTATTATCAGTAGGCAGACCACCCCTGTTTCCTCTGCTTGGCCTTTGGGACGTCCCAGCATGTCTGGCATGGTATGATCATTAATGTACTCTTCAGCACTGGGAGCTCTGCTCTATGCAGGCTGTATTTACAAAGGCTACCAGATTGCTGGACATTTGGTATCTTAGTGAACGGAAAGTATTTGGAACCCTTTTCAAAAGAGCTTAAACGTGGTCACTCTGTGTCAGTAAAATAATGATCAGTGTGGTATTTATTGTCACTCCGTGCTGGTGAGGCCGCCTATACACTGAAGTATAGCAAGTGCCATTTACCAGTCAGTATTTCTATGCTGATATCTAGTATTAGTAAAACCATGCCTTCATCTTTGTCTTCAGTAGAGTGGGTTGTTTTTAATCAGAATTATTAAAAGTGTTCAAAAAGAACTAAATGCTCAAGAACTGAAAAATGCTGGTTCTTTTTGTTTATGCTGTGTAAACTTGTTCCAAAAGCTTGCTAACAAGGCAGGCAGCACTGTTAGACCACGGTGAGCGGATGGCAAGCGACCTGGGACTGGATGACGATGGTGGCCAGCACGGCTGTGGTCCCACACAGAGGCTGGGCTTTGGGGAAGTGGAATAGAATCGCATGAAAGAGGGATGGATTCATGGTGTAGAATAGTAATTTGCTGTGTAGTAATTTGTGTGCTGGTTAATCCATCTCCAGTCAGAAATGGGTGGCAGTGCCCCGTCGCCTTCCTCACCAGCTTCCCATTAGACAGCCAGCTTCAAAAGCGCTGGGTCAGTAGTGTTCTGGCAAAGAAACTTGTAGATGGTGGCAGTGCTGTGATAGTGGAAATACATAACGTTGATGGAGACTGCAATAGGAAGGAGCCACTGTCGTGCAAAGCCTTTTAAGGAGAAGCAGTGGCACTTTGCAAAACGTGTGCCCCAGAAGAGCCTAAGCGAAGTCAGCATGTGGGATCTAGAAGGCTGTGCTCACCACGGTGGCATAATGTGCATGGTTTTCCAGATGAAATTTAAACACCCTCCGGGCATTTGTCTCAGACCCCTAGCTTTGGGCATTTTCTGACTTCTGTGTTGTTCTCCTTGCCTGTCTGCCTCCTTACTTAACAGAAGGGAAAAATACTGCCTGGTCCCTGTCTCACTTAGGCCAGTGCTTTGGGCCTCCCTCATCCCTGTGGCCACTAGACGGTAGCTCTGAATGAGTTGGCAAGATTTTATTCATAAAGTTCATGCTATCTAAGCATCCTTTGAGTTACTGACTTTGTCTGGGACGAGTTTACGTTCATAGATAACTTGTTTATAATTGTAAATTAGTTGAATTAAGATAAGATATGGCCACAAACTGTCAAGTGGTAAGTTTACTAAAATAAGGTGGGTACTAGTTTTATCTTTAACTTTTCCGTTTGTTTGTGGGTAAGTTTATGAGGTAGGAAGGTGCAGTGGAGGAGACACTGGGATTGGGGTACCGCAGGCTTCGAGGCTGACCCAACCTCTTCTCAGCATGAGTGGTTGCCAATGCCATGGTAACATGAAAATACGTGTTTTTGTTAGTAAAGTTGGCCTGTTGACAGTGTTTAGTACTTAGATGATATTTTAGTTTTTCCTTTTGCTTTCTTACAATATGATTTTTCTTTAAAATTGTATCTTTAAGTTGTCTCCCTTTTCACAACTCATTTTGAAAGCCATAGACCCCATTGATAGCAAACTTTAGTGCATAGGTTTTTGTGGGTCAATGGGAGAAAAGCTATTTCAGGAAATTCCAAGATCTAAAAGCATACCTTAATCCATATAAGGTATGAAGCCCATGTTTGCTTTCAAAAATGAATGAATTCTGTATTACTGTCTTTACTTATAGATTCAAGAGTGTTTGGGTTTTTCTCTGTGTTTAATTACAATGGAAGGGAAACATTTGTATGCAAAGGGTTAGTTCCTCTTAGGGAATTTGGACATTAAAGCCTACTCTAGTTCTTGGTGTCACATTAGTCATTGAGTAGTTTCTCATGTTTATGAAGTTGTGGTATACAAAAATGCTAATTTGTTGTCTTTTCTCCCCCTCAGCCATCTGTTGAATCTTCAAGTCCAGGTAAGTATTTTTCCTATGTTTTCAATAATCTCTATTTGACTAATATTTATCCTATTAGTTGCATAAAGGCTAGAGGAGTTAGACTGTCATCTGACTTGCTTTTCTTCTGAATGCTTTTCTCTGGGGAGAAAGAAATGGATGAAATGTTTGACTGCCCGTGAAAGTACAGGTGAGGCAGCTATGAGCTCACCCTCATGCCCATTCATATTCTCTCTCTCTCTCTCTCTCTCTCTGTCTCTCTCTCTCTCTCTCTCTCTCTCTCTCTCTCTCTCTGTCTCTCTCTCTCTCTGCGCCATATGTATATCTTACAGTTTTACGTTGTTACTTGAATTGAAGTGTATATGACGTATCTTTGAAAAGGGAAATAGCTTAGAAATGCTTGTGCAAGAAATGAAATTTTTTCATTTGAGGAAAAAAATTGTTAGTGTATTTACTGCAGGAGGGAAAAATTATATGAAAGGTTCAAGAGGTAAATATTTAGTGTTATAAATTAGTTATATTAGTTTTAGATTTTAGTAGTACCAAGTTTTATCCTCTGACCATACATCTAAAGGTTTTTAATATTTTCCTTCCGATACAGTAGATTCCTGTATTCCTGTCTTAGAAGTTGCAAATTAGTGATCCTTGGACCAATCTAGACCACATGTTTTTTGTTTGGCCACTATAGCAATCTTTAAAACTTAAAATATTTCATATAAAATCTAGGTTGAGGGTTCCTGCTCACTCACAGGCTCCAGCCCCACAAGGCAGAGCCTTCCCACTTGGCAATAATTGGTTGTCTGAGAACAGCGTGGGAAGAGTCAGGTCCTAGTGATTTGGCCTCAGTGTCCAGAGATGGCCAAGGCCAAGAGAAGTGTCCGCTAGGTGTGGAGCAGGCAGGAGAGGGAGCGGGACCAGGAGAGCGTGGGCAGCGCTCTGAGGCAGGGCCATGTCTCACTGGAAACCATCTCATGTAGATTATTTAGATAGGATGTATTCCACATTGCTGTATCTACATGTTATTGAAGCAGTCGTAATTATAAGAAGAAAGCTTTGTGTAATGCTGAACACAGTGTAAGCCCTTCAGTGACCCAGTCCTTTGCACGAGCACATTAACTGTATTCTGGGAGGCTTGGGCTAGATTGCTTCCAGAACTCATCCCGAGTGCTCAGTTCACAGTTGATTTCTCTTCATTTCAGCTGAAAATGCCTTACTTTTTCTTATATGCTTGACAATAAAATACATTAAGTTTTGTGACATTTGTGAAACTCAAGGATTTTAACTTTCTGGCTTATAAATATGTTCTGGATGGTTAACACTGGATGTAATCTGTAAAACAGCTGAGTGTTGTATCACTGTATCATTGTTTCCAGTATTTTTTTCTTTCAAACACATTGAAAAAGTAGGTTCTTGTGTTTATTAATACTATGATATTGCAAGTGGAGTGAGTTTTCGGTATTTTTAGGAATTTCCAGATATTGGTCAGCAGATAGAGTAATTATGTCAAATCTGATACTAAGAAATGGCTCCCCCAGTTTGTGTCCAGCTAGGCAGGACTGGGGGAGGAGTGAAGCTTGAAGAATACAAATGTTTTTAGTAACTTTTGGTACTTATTGATACTTAGGTGTTAGGGTGTGTGTAGTTTGTTTCTTTTAGGTGGTTTTTGGACTGAGGGAAATCATCAGCATTACACAGTACTTACAATGTAAAATACTCTTTTAAATAATGATAGTTTTAGAGAATTAAAAGAGTTGGTGGGGGAAACCAGGAATAGAGGCCTCATATAAAAATGTTTTTTGGCCCACTAGTAAAAAGCTGTGCCTTCTGCAGCATCTGGGCTTGGGGGTCATTATTAATAATGACACTCACAGTAGTCTGTGTATAGATTTTGCCAGTGCAAACCAAAGAGGAGGTAGACTGTAAGACTAGACGTCATTAGAGGTGGGAATTAAGGCAAGGGAGGAAAAAGATTTAAATGGTTAAATAAGTCCACATGACACATGGTAAACTGAATCTGCCTCTGAGTCTTCGTAAACACGTCAGTTGCCCCAGAGTGGTACATGCAGACCCCGAACCCAGCACTGGGAGACTGAGGCAGAAGGGCTGTGAATTCAGTGCCAGCCGGTGCCACCTTGTGAGGAGAGCCTGTCTCAAAATAAGAGTGTAGGATCCCTTCTAGCAATTCTGCAGTGAGGTGGTCTTAGGATGGATCAGTGGTCCTTGCCTTAACTCTGAAGCAAGATACTTACACAAAACACTAGATTACAGTCGCTAATAATTTATTGCTGGGGACCCCCCCCCCCAAAAAAAAGAAAGCCTGAGGATGGGTCCAGGGGTCAACAGAAAGGATTAGAATGGTTAGTTGATCCTAGAGAGCTAGGTGAGAAGTCAGAACAAGGTCAGATTAAGGCAGAAAAGTAGTTGAAATTGAAAGTTTACAGAGAAGGTCTGCTGTGGGTTTTGATGTGGGAAGTGAAATGGCAGGTTTTAATTGGCTTTGCAGAATATGACCAAAAAATGGGCCATCAGGCAAGTTACATATCATGACCTGATGCTGTGGATCGTGGGCTTGGATTGTTTTTAAGCTGTTGAGAATGTAATAAGTAGTTAGGAATTAACTTGCTTTGAGAATTATGACTAAGGTAATAGTATACAAAAAGAATGGCCTGGGGTTTTTAAAGAACCTTCCTGTCTACAAGGAAGAGAAAAGGCATAGTATCATCTGTACTTACTGACTATTGACAGCCTCAGAAGATTCCTGGGAGGACTGAGAAGTTCAGGAAAATTTTCCATTGAAAACTGCTAAGAAGAGAAAACAGGACACAAAACTATAGCTAAGTTAGTGGTTTTCCTGGGGGACCCTTACATCTGGTCCGTCAGTACTAGAATAATGTCCAGGAGAAATAGTAACTTCTTTGTAAATCATTTTAGAACTTTGAGAATTGTCAGCAACTCATTTTTTTTGTAACCTGGCTGGTGTAAGATGAGCCCCGGTTTGACAGGTAATTATCTCTTTAGTTACATTCAGGGGCAGCTTCTTAGGCTTCTCAGTGAGCAGCGCAGCACCCCCTGTGCGCCCCGCGTCTGACCCTGGTCACAGTGCTCTCATCTTGGTGAAGACGGCTCTCCTTCCTGGGAGCACCCTTCCGGGCCTGCAGGAGGAGCTGGGATGGGCAAAGGGTTCACTTTCCATCTGCCACTGCTGGGTCTGAGTTTAGATACCATTTAAACTCTCTAAGCCTTGAACCTTTGTTTTTCCCCTTTTTCGTGGGATGATAATACCAACTTGATAGGGTTGTTGGAAGGTTGACATAATGTCTGTGAAATGCTTAAGCATACTATCTGGCATGTGGCAAGCTAAACATGGTGCCTGTGCCGGGTATGGTGCTCCAGGCCATTGTAATCTAGCACTTAGGATGCTGAGGCGGGAGGATCTTGAAGAGTTCAAGGCCAGTGTAGAATACGTAGTAAGACCCTATCAAAAAACAAACAAAATGGTGCTTATTTACAAAGTTGTGGGAGATGCCTGAGGAACCCTGAGTCTTTGTGTTACCTTACCACTAGTAGGAATTGGCCTCTATGTCTCTGTTTTACTCATTGGTTCTCACACTGGAATGAAATGAAATACCACAATATGACCGTCAACAGTTTCAAGTGATAAGATGCCTCATTTTTTTTAATGTTAATTAACCCATTTATGTTGAAGATTGAAATTTTTTGACTTTTTGCATGAGATTCATGTGTGTTGCCTAGAAAAATTCAAGGAACAAGAATTTGAAGAGAACACATTCCACTGAGTTCTGCTGTTATGGGCCTTCCAGAAATGGATTGCTAGGCATTGGAGGGTCATCCCATTTGCTCATCAGCCCGCAGTAGTTGTACAAACCTGAGTTCAGGTGTGGCAGTAGTCAGGTGGGATGGTTCACAGAATGTGTGTTCCTGGCTTCTGGAGACTGTTAGGAAGAGCAGCCCTGTTGAATCCAATAATGTTCCTCAGACATCTGGCAAAAAATGGATTCAGTTGCCCTAGAGTATTTTTAATCTCTTTGATAAGAGTGTTGTATGCAATTTTAATAAATTTTACTTTTATCTCTGAGTTATTCCAATTCAGAAGTCAACTGGAATGTGTTTCCAGGGAAGTGCTGATCAAAGAATACTTGATTCATCCATATTGTAGTCGTGTGATGTAAGGCACTGTTGGGTGATTTCAAAACTGAATGAGTACGACAGAGCGTACTTTACACAAACCTGGGCAGTGTCTCCTACAGTGCCTCATGCTTCTTGGCTCTGTCAAACATTAATCAAATGGTAAGAGTTGTGACCCCCCCCCAAACTAAAAGGCCATTCTTATTTGATACGACCATTCTTTATAAGTTACACTTCGTGTTTAGAAGATTGCAACACACCTTTACAGTTACAAATACTGTACTTCCACCCTCAGCTTTGCAGTGTCACTGAGTATGCAAGGGTGAGGCGTAAGGCAAGGCAAACAGCGTGAGGAGATTTATTGCGGGCTGGTGATGAGGAAGGGCAAGAAATTAAAAAGCAGAAATAATCTTTAGTGTGCATAGTTTTTTTCTTGTACTTTGACTTATATCCATCTTCAAATAAATAATGCATATACACTAAACTGATATTAATACGACACTTAATTTGGTTCACCATACTTTTTAAAATATTCTTTACCAGGAGGTTCAGCAGCATCAGATGACCATGAATTTGATCCATCAGCTGACATGCTGGTTCATGATTTTGATGATGAACGAACATTAGAAGAGGAAGAAATGATGGAAGGAGAAACAAACTTCAGTTCTGAAATAGAGGATCTTGCAAGGGTAAATAATATTGAAAGCTAGGGGATAAATGGTTATAACTTTGTGGAGAGAGGAAACATGTTCTCTGTATTTTGAGGGGGAAGTTGTATAGTTCATATCAAAAAGCCCATGTAGTCACAGATAGGATAAAGTTTGAAATTAAGATATTTAGACGTAGCTTTATTATGTGAAATGTTAGAATCAGAAGTGACTTTGGTAAGACATCATAGACCTGGGTCCACAAGGATTCTAAATTTCCTCTTGTGTGTGCACCTGCCCCTCCACAGTTAGTGCACCTTTTATTTCTTCCCCTTCAGAGCCCAAGAGCCTTAACACTTGTCCTCATTTTCCATTCCCTGCTTGAAGTGGTGTGGAGGGTGTCTGCCCTTTCTGTCAAAGTGACCTTTGCCTTTCATTGTTACAACCATTGCTACATTCTCTTTTCTCTCTGTACCTTACTCTTTTTCTTGGTATTCATTGCAAGTTACCGTTCTCTTCTTTTGCTTGAATTCTGGAGTGCCCACTGTGTGATTTTCTCTATTTCTCTTCTTCCTGTTCAGTGTCTTAGCAGGCCCTTCTTCTTTTACCTAAGGCTTAAATGTTTGCATTTCCTGATCATTGGTTCTTGGCCTTTGGCCTCTGGATCATTGCTCCTCAGAACATAGGTTGAGAGTCAGCTGCATCAGAATTGTCCGTGGACTGATTAAAAAGAGCAGATTCCTGTGCCTCTCCCTAGGCATGCTAAGTCAGAATCTCTGGGGGTTGGATCCAGATCTGCATCTTCATTAGGCAAGTGTGAATTGCATGCCCATCAAATTTGAAAATTGCGAAGCGCTGTGACCTACTTTTGCAGTGTCTCGTCTCCTTCGTTTATATTTCTAGCATTATTACTGGTCTGGTATCAGGTTGGCATTTTTGCTCAGATACTTGAACAAACATCTGAGTTTTAAACATCCAATGTTCTCCTCCTTCTACATATGCTTTCCCTTTTGTCTCTATCTGTAAAAACAGGCACTTCTGTTTATCCAGTTACCAAACGCAGAAACCAGGGAGTCATTGTCCTTCATTCCCAGTGTCTGTCCTCTGCATAAGCCTATCATTTCTATCCACAGCGTCTTATCTGCCTCTGCCACTAATTTCTGCCCAGGTTGCCATCCTTTCTGTCCTAGACAGTTAACGGCAGCTTCTTAGCGGGCTTACCCATTTCCTCTTTTACCATCTTGCTCCCAGTATGATTCCACCCAGCAGCTGTGATGATCGATCGATTGATCGATCTGTCTTCCTTCCTTCCTTCCTTCCTTCCTTCCTTCCTTTATTTCTTCCTTTCTTTCCTTTCTTTCTTTCATACAGGGGATCAAACTCAGGACCTTGCACTTGTGAGGCAGGCAGTGGCACCACTGAACTAAATCCCCGGCCCTCTTTCCATTTAATAATTCCATTAATTTACACCTCCTGGCTTCCTGTTACTCCCATTACTGAAGACAATCCAAACTCCTTATTTTGGCTCTCAGGCCCCTCCCTGCATGGTGTGCCCCGCTGTCAGTCTACCGCGCTGCTGTAACCATATGAGCTGCTTTTTGCTTCTGGGTTCTCCAGTTTCTTCCTGCTTCAAGGCTTTTGGCTCATTCACCCTCCATGGTATGGGCTTCCCAGGGCTGGCTCCTTACCCTCTGGGTTTGAGGTTACGCTTCAGTGTGCACTTCCTAACCCTAACTAGCTTTACAGAAACTCTGTATTGTATCCTGTGCTTTTTTTTTTTTTCTCTAAAAACTAATAGAATGATTATGTTTGTTTAATTTGCTATCTGTACCTCTATTAAATTTTTGAGGGAAGGGACCAAGACTATTATTCACCAATAAATTTCATGGTGAATGAAAGTATTGAATGAGTACACAAATCAATCTGGTATGCTCTAATAAAAATTTGTTACGTGTGTAATTGCTGTGCTCCATGATAGAAAGAACATATGCTATAAGATACGGTGCCAGCTTTTAAGGATTTAGAAAATATATTGTGGAAAATCACTAGTCTGTGTTTCAGAATTTTAATTTGGACCTTTTTAAAGTATCAAAGAGCTTGAGAAGGAGTCCTGTATCGTTTAGTCAGATCCTGTCCAGTGGTCCCTTTTCAGACCCTCTAGTGATCAGAGCTGGTTTAATCCACAGTGCCTAAGCAACTTAGTATTTTATTATTCTGAGCTAGATAACATGGCTGATCTAGTGTATTGGTTATCACAGTGATCTTTGCGGGGTCAGAATTATTCTTTAAAAGTAAGAGACTGGAACACTACTCAGAAGACAAGGATAGTTTGCTTAGATGATTCAGATCCTAGTTGAACATCAAGGAGAACAATTAGTTTAACAATGATAGTCACTTCATATATTTTTGAAGTGGAAAGGCAGTTATTTTCAATTATTTGCCTATACTCACAAAAATTTCTCTCACTTTAGATATACTTTCTTGCTTCTGAAAAGAAGACTAGAGTAAAAGGTAAAGGAGGGGAATCGTGTATTTTCCCTCTGTGTTAGCAAGAATTAATCAAGTACTTTTTGGAACAATAATACGCATGATGTTTTTCTTCTACTTCAGGATACTATATCTAATTAGTATGAAGTTGCTAATGGGCTTTACTAAAATTTTGGGTGTGCCTTTGCTTTTTTTTTTCATCTTTCATCCACACCTTTCCCCAACTCTTCAGCTGTGTAAAATTTGCTTTCACCTGACCCTCCTTCAGAAACAGTAATGAAAATAGAATTCTTCGTAGAGGCCACAGAGAGGAAGAAAAAGACAGCAGGACCAACGCTTTATCATCACTTTAGCCAGATAGCCCCACACCTTTCCAGGTTCTCCTGACTTCACCCAGAAGCAGTTACGGTTTAGGTCTAAGTAGCACATTACCAGTCCTGCTTTCATCTACACCTGAACTAAGCTGCTGGAGGTCCAATTATGTTGGCTTTCCTGCAGTTACAGTCTCCTCAGGCGTGATTCAAACCAAAGTGGTTTTGTTTTTTAAAATAAGTAAGATTTTGTCATGATGACTATTCATTTGATTTTATAGAAGCAAAACATTAGTTATATTAAGAAATGGCAAAGTGTTTTTCAGCTGGCACTTTGGTTGCATAAAATAGTTTTTTCTAAACTTTTTAATGAAAACTTCATAGAAGCAGCTTTTTTGTATAGGACTATAGTTGTTGCATTTATGTTGTTGATGGAAAATGCATTATAATTGTATGTTTAGCATTTAAAGTTTTAATAGAATTAGGTAGTTTAGAATTTCCTGTGGTGGTTGAAGAAGGGATGTCAGTTCACATAGTAAATAAAATAGACTTTTGTTTTCTAAACATTAGTAATACTTGAGTTTAACTTTTTCTAATTTCAAATGCACTCTTAACAGATGAAGAAAGATCAAGATTAGCTATATCTTTATATATTTAGATACATTTCAGGAAAACAGTCACACAGTAATATTAGACTGTAATATGAACTTGTAAGCACTGACCATTCCCAGTTAATTTCCAAAGTAAGAGAATAAAGATTAAAATGTGAGCGGTTTTCCTGAATCATATGCACAACTTGAATTTTACAGATTTAAAAGAAACCCCAGCACCACGACTATGCAGAGTTCACGGTATCATCCCCGCAGATTTATCTTCCAGTCAGGCCTGCCCCCAGGCAGCTGGTTACCTTGGGAACTGTCTCCAGTCTCATCTGGATGTGGTCCCTTAGGCCTTCCTGTCTGGAAATCGGTTTCTTTCCTTCTGTCTCTCTCTTCACAAGCACTTACTGGGACATTGTTTTGCTGTGTTGAGGAGATGGAGAGAGTTGTCTGTCCACCACATGGCCCTGCTTTGAAGGCCATCATGTGCTGCACGTGCTGCAGTCACCCTCACGCCTGAGCCCTGCGTGAGGACACAGGCACCACCCCAGCCGCATGCTGCTGCTGTGTGTCGGATGACTTGACCCTGGTGTTGTGAAATTAGGGCAGACTTCATTTCAGCGAGTGTTTGTCTTCTAAAAAGCCAGTCCTTTTCTGCCTTTAGCCAGCCTCCGTTCAGTTCATGCAGACGCAGTTGCTCTTCCTTTTTTTTTAGATACGGGGGATCGAACTCAGGTCCTTGCGCTTGCACAACAGGCGGCAAAACCACTGAGCTAAATTCCCGGCCCATGTTGCTCTTCTTTTTGCTGCAGTGCTTACACAACTTGTTTCTTACAGCGTAGTACATGAGTGTGATGCACATTCCTGTGTTTTTACTCATCTTGTCCTATGCCCATTTTCCTTATTCTTCAAGGCCTTGTCTCTCATGCTACATGAGGATGATGCGTACTGCACCTAAGGTCACATAGCTGAAGGAGGGCGACCTCTCTCCATATGCACACGAGTGACCAGGCAGGCTGCCTGGGACCATAACTGAGCTGCATTAGTCAGCCTGTGACTCTGGAGTAACACTGTTAAGCTCCAGTTGTTTTTACTAAAATAATCTAAAGTACTTTGCACGGTGTCTGGCAGATGATACGCACATTAATCATAGTAGTTACTCACAAGATTCCCAGAAATGTGTGCCCCACAGATCCGTGCTGTACTGGGAAAATCCACTGCTGACCGCATCCTTCTCTCTCTGCTCCCCCTTTTCTGCATTTCTGACATTTGTGTGAATGAGAATAAAGCACTGCTGCTTCATTGTGCTGTTTCAGTTTCAGTTGAAGGAAGCCCTTCGGAACCTGGTAGAAAGTAGGCTTTGATAACATGAGCTCATGAGATGTTCTGTTGAACAAGTGACTGACAGGCCCTACTAGAACCCTGTGCTGTTGGCCAATTTTTATTCATCCTTTAGTTTTTATTTCAGAGAGAAAAATAGAGTGTTTGCTTTCCAGGATGTCTGTACTGTTTATAGCATCAGAATCTAGGGAGCACAAAGACAAATCCATCTGGACTAGCTCAGTGAAGACGAGGAATTTAGTGCAAGGCTCATGGGATTTCATTAAGGGTGTTGACCTAGCCAGGCTCCAGGGACTGAAGTCCCCCCAGAATACGTTTCCTTCGTTCCTGCTTTTTTACCTGGGTGGCTTCCCTTTTTCAGATTAACTTTGATCATATGAAGTTGTCAGTTCCTAGATCTCTAAACCCTGCCTGAGACAGTCTGTGCATCTTTTTTCAGCAGCTCTTGATAAAATTGCAGAAACAGAGTGCAAAGCAGGGTGTCTTAACCCCTGCCCTGTCCACCTGCTACTTAGTGAAGGTTATTCCTCTTACGGACAAAGGAGCACTGGCCAAAGAAAGCACAAATGTTTGGATTTATATTGTGGTTGCCAATCCAAATATTCACATCATGGTTATCATAACAAAAGAAGACATTCCTAGGCTGATGGACACTGTTGTGCCCTGTCACCTGGGGACCAAAGAGCTAGCAGAATTCCAAAGGACCCATGAAGAGAAGGTGTGCAGCAGTGTCAAAGCACCCAAGACTGAGCATCTTGTTATTCTGTGTGTTCCACAACACAGATGCCAGCGAGCTGCTCTGAAGAAGTAGTGTATTAAAAAAAATAAGGCAGAGGCTGTAGAGTGTGCTAAATTTTTGGCCAAGAGAATGAAGGAAGCCAAAGAAGAACCCCAAGAACTGATTGCCAAGAGACACCGGCTGGTGTCTGCATCTCAGTACGAGTCCAATCAATGATGAGCCCACACCCCCAGCTGCCTTAGCTTTGCTCTGTGTCTGTGGATCTTCATGGGCCATGATGGTGATTCAGTACCTGTGAGCAGTGTGTAATACTCAGATCAGAATAAGTACTTCCATCTCTTGAACCCTGAATCACTTTTACAGTCTTATAGTCATTTTGAACTGCAGATTGTTGTAACCAGTAGTCACCCTGCTGTGATGAAGAACCAGAAGTGATCCCCCTGCTCTGATTCAGTGCCCCGTTACTGAATCTCTTTCCATCTCTCTCCCCCAGCCCTTCCCAGTCTCTAGTGACACCCATTCCATTCTGATCCACAAGGTTGACATACTTGTTTCAACAGATCAGTAAGAACCTGTGTTTGTCTTTCTGTGTCTGTTTTACTTTACTTGACGTAATGACCTCTTGTTCCATCTGTGTTGCCGCAAGTGACAAGATTTTAACCTTTTTATGGTTGAATAGTATTCTGTTGTGTGAATGTACCACATTGTCTTCACTCATTCGTCATCTGATGGTCATTTGGATTGTTTCCATATTTTGGCTACTGTGAAATCTGCAGTAAACATGTGAGTGCAGATACTTTTTGCTGGTATCTTACAACAGATGTGTCACGTGTGCTTCAGCACCAGCAGTATAAGACTGACTAACCCTCCTGAGACCTGTTGGGTCATGGACTCCCAAGATGAGACCCAGCACTTTTTCCAAATACAGCTTTAAAGTTTTTTAATCCCCTTAAATAAATGACAGACCAATAGTGGAAAACATTTATCTGATTGATAATTCGCTTTGTTTCTTAAGAGTGGACCAAGTGGCATGGTCTGGTCAGAATAGAGCATTGCCATTTCATAGCTGTGTGGTTTTCCAGATCTTTTAAAAGAGGTAGCTGAGTACCATGGTGCCTTCTGTAATCCTAGTCATTTGGGAGGCGAAAGCAGGACTGTGAGCTGTAGGTCAGCCTTAGCAATGTAATAAAACCAGATCTCAAATGAAAAATAAGCACGTACGTCAGAGTTAATAGTAACATGTATTAGGACACTTGCGAGGATAAACTAAACCACAAGCTCCTCATAAAGTCTGAGGGCTGTGCAAATGGGAGTCGCAGCCGACTATGCTAGTGTTTTCCTGCTTTGTCCTCTGTCCACACTGTTGACACCAGAAGTGGCTCTTACTCGTGGCAGTGACATCGGGCAGACCCTGCTTCTCGTGTGGCCTGCATGATGAATGTAAGGAGAGTTACACACACAACCTGGGATTAGGAGGTCTGGATGTAGTACTGAAGTCTGTCAATACGTGATGTGTCTCTCTGGCTATTTCCTTGTTTACAGATAAGAGTAGCAAATAAAAGCAAGCAATCCTATCTGGCACTTTTAAAGGTCCAGCGAGATTCTGTAATGCTCTGACTCTGCTTTCATTCTTAAGAGAAAAACAGCAAAGTATGGAGCACAAATGTGGCATACAGGAGATGCTTCATGACAGCTACTTGCCGCTGTGTCTAGAACTAGACTTGTGTCTTTCCCTTACTCTGCTACTCTTGGTTTTGGAGTTCTTATTTCTTTAGTACTGGCTCCTTCTCCCAAGATTTCAGTGTCTTCTGCCACGCCCTTGGTATGCGGGCCGGCTCCGAGTGGTCCTTACTCTCGCACTTCTCGGACTGCTCGTGTCATGCTCCAAGACTGTGAGCGCTGTGGGTTAGGTGTGTCTGCTGCTCATCCAGCTGGAGTGGCACAGCTTTGCCTGGTGTGGCCGCTTTTCAGGCCAGAGCTGCTGCAGCTGATTAGGGTTCTCAGAAGTGATTTCTCTTTCAGAAACAGTTCACAAATTGATTTATAACTAGATTTTCCATTTACAATGGGAAAGAGAACTATTAAATGGCACTGTCTTCCTATTTAAAAAAAGTACATATTGTAATCATTAGATTGCTTGTTGCTCTCGGTTTCTGAGTGATGGGGTAATTTTTGTGATCTAAGTGATAGCGTCACCAGATTGTCATCTGGTCCATTGTACCCCTGGTCACGGTAGCGGTGTGTTTAACACATGGCCCGGACTTATTTCTGCTCCAAAATAAGGCACCATGCTGAAGCAGTACAAAACATCTCATGTCATGAGTAGCATTTTTCTAGCTTCCAGACTGACATTTCTCTGGGGGTTTTTTCACAGCACGCACTTATGTGTATTGTGTGAGTGTCTAATATGTTCAGATGATTTGGGTTTTTGTTGTGTTTCCCTGGTACTAAGTATGACTTCCCTAATGATTAGAGTCCCTTCTACAGAAAGCTTGTTTCATTTCCTGCGTACGGGTATTTTTCGCTTCAGCCGATGAGGGTGTTTGTGGGGGTTTGAGGAAGGCCCCGGCTGAGGCACCTGGAGCCTCCCCATAGGATAGCAGCTCCTGGGTAGCTGGCTTGAGTCTGCTCCATAGTGTGTAACTCCCGGGACTTCTGAAGGCAATGACCTGCATTCCATTGTCTATAAGTAGAGAGCACAGTCTGTAGCGTGGATGGGGACACAGGTGTGAGGTGATTCTCGGTGTGGGTAGAGACACCGCGGAGGAGAGGGGCCCAGGCAGTGTGGTGCCATCCTGTGAATCACTGCTGCTTTTCCATGTGCTTTGGCTGGGCTGTGAATTTCACCTCCCTTTCTAGGTTTATTGACTTAGTTTAAAGCCTATTTCCTAATTCTACTTTCTCCAAATTAATTGGCTCATTTAATAGAAGTGAATCTATGTGTAAGTTCTAATTGACTGTCATTGTACATATACTGGATTAGTTGCAAAAAAATAGTCAATTTTAGACAAATGTCACTATTACACTTGAAAAGATTTTAACAGTTAAAATTGGTCAGTTTTATAGGATATTTAAAACTGACATGTTCTTAGGTTTCAAAAATACTTGTTTTACTTTCTATAATTTGAAAATTCTTGGTGTATATTTTTAAATATTGTTCTGCAGAGTGACTATAGATTTATTAATTACAGCCTAGAGATAGGAAATCACTGATTTAAAAAATTGACTTTTGGGCAGGGGATTTAGCTCAGTGGCACCACACCTGCCTTACAGGCAGCAAGGTCCTGAGTTCCATCCCCAGTACCAAAAATAAATAAATAAATAAATAATTGACTTATTTTGGTCTGCTTAGGAAGGCGACATGCCAATTCATGAACTTCTCAGCCTTTATGGTTATGATAGCACCGTTCGACTACCAGAAGAAGATGAGGAAGAGGAGGAAGAGGAGGAGGAAGGTGAAGATGATGAAGATGCTGATAATGATGACAACAGTGGCTGCAGTGGGGAAAATAAAGTAAGGTTATACATATGGACAGTAGTTCACCTTCTATCCACTGAGCATATTCCGGGGGTAATCCAAGTGGATGAATATTTGAATTTTTAAAATGTTAGCTGGCCGTGGTGGGGCACACCTGTGATCCCAGCACTCGGGAGGCTGAAGCAGGAGGAGGATCTCCACAAGTTTGAGCCCAGCCTGAGCTACATAGTGAGACCCTGCCTCAAAAACCTAACTAACCAAATAAAATTTTTAGTAGTAAAAGACACCATGTCATTAATCTCCTCAAGACACTCCTTCCTTTGAATATATCCCATCATTGTTGCCACTTGCTGAGAAGTCTTTTTTTTGTACTGGAAATCGAACTCAGGATCCTGCACTTGTGCTTGCCAGGAATTGGTAGCCCTGCTGAGCTGCATCCCCAGCCTTTCGTTTGTTTTAAGAGGGAAAGGTTTTATTTGGCTCACAGTTTGTAGAGACTTCAGTCCATAATTGGCTGGCTCCAAGGCAGAGATGGCAGACAGGTATGCAGAGGAGAAGCAACATTGTTGCCACTTTCTGAAGCAGCTTTGGAAGTCCTCTTTCCTGAGTGTCTTTGCAAGGTATGATCAAAAGTACAGTGAATGCGGCTGCTGAGTACCCTCTGAAAGACGTTTTGTGACATATGTCCTTGTCCTTCTTACTGGATCTGGCACCATGCAACTTCCAGCTCTTCCCCAGTGTCAGAATGACCAGGAGAGGGAAACATTTTGAATCAAGGCAGTCGCAACAGCTAGACTAAAGACTTTCAGGAGAGAGAACTTCTAGATACGCTTCAGAAAGTAGCAGGAACAATGGGGTAAGTGTGTTCCAATGAGGGGGATTATTTTGAGGGGAATTAATTGCAAAGTGGCCTTTACTGTAAGGAATTTTTTTTTTTTAATTTAAGTATTTACTGTAGGTTTCTGCCAAGACCTGTAGTGGATGACTGAAATCACAGATAGTGCCAGACTCTGAATACAGTTTGCAAAGTTAAATACAGTAAGAGATTAAATGTTAAAAATTAAGGTACTACAGAAATATGTAATGTAAACATTGGAAATCCCCTGGGACCCACTTCTAAGAGGTAACATTTTGATTTGTGTCATTCTAGATTTCTTCTCAGTGCTTTTCTGAGTAGTTTATGTAAAACCACATTTTGAAAAATGCTATTGACTTTAAAGTACAAGGGCTAATTGGCAGTTCTGTATTTTTTCTTTATTTTGAAATAATTTTAGATGTGAGAAGAGTTTCAAAGTTGATATAGAAAGTTTCTGTATATTCTTCCCTCGGCTTCCCTCTATTAACAGCTTATGTGACCATGGTATCTTTATCAACACTAGCACAGTCCTGTTAACTGAACTGTTTGGGCTTCACCAGTTTTTCCACCAGTGTCTTTTTTCCTATCCAAGAGCCAGCACAGAGCACCGTGTGGCGTTCCGTTTAGTCTTACGGGTACAGTAGAACAAAATGTGAACACCTGACCTTCTGTCTGCAGCCTTGTTCTCCACACCTTGAATAAATGTAATTTGCTGTCCCATAGGAAGAGAACATAAAGGATTCATCAGGTCAGGAGGATGAAACTCAGTCTTCCAATGATGACCCGTCACAATCTGTTGCTTCTCAGGACACCCAGGAAACCATCCGCCCACGCCGATGTAAATATTTTGATACAAGTAAGTGTCATTGCTCTAGTTAGAATATAAATTTTACTGTTTTATATGGTACCTAAAATTCTAATCCATTTATCACTGCTTTTTAAATTCATTTATTCTGCAGTCTCTTTCAAAAGTAAATGGCTTTCTTTGTAGGTTATTCATTTAGCAGCACGAAGGCCCTGGGTCAGTGAACACGCTGCAGTGATTACTATGCCATCTACTCCCTGGCACTGGGTGTGCTTTTTATTTCATGTAGTCTTTCAGTTTTCATTCTCTACTTTGCTTTGCCTCTTATCCTTTTCTGAGGTATACTCATGCTCACTTAACAATGGCACATTGTAAGAAATATATTGTTCAGCAATTTCTTGGTTGTGTGGATATCCTAGAACAGTGGTGGTGAACCTATGGCACACATGTTTTTAAGGCAAAAGATATATTCATATAGAGTTGTTTTTTTCTAAACTAAAACCTCACTATTTCAGGTTTAATGGCAGTGGCAGCACTGTGCGATAATAAATGGGTTTTGGGTTACAGTTTGGCACTCGATCTCTGAAAGGTTCACCATCACTGTCCTAGAGTACACATGCACAAACTCAGATGGCTGCGACATCACCACGTGACATAGTCATCCAGGACCCCCATCGTATGGTGGCATCTGGTGTAGGCCGAAGTGGGATTGCACAGTGTGTGACTGTGTACTCAAGAGCATTGCTGTCTGTATTCTGTGGGTCTTGGGTCTAAAGCAGTCCTTGATTCCTGAGGTAGGCACTTGTGCTTGCCTGCCTGCTTCCTCTACCTGCCTGTTCATTCTGAGTCCAAATGACTACTCTGGAAGATGGCTGCTTCATAACAGGTAATTTCTGTATTTGAAAAGGGAGAAAAGCACTTGAGACGTAGCCTCTTATGAAATGTACTATGGTAATAACTGTTTAAACATGACTAGTGCTTTGTGTGAGTAAGTGAATGCAGTTTAGTTGGGAAGTGAATGTCACTGCCGGTTATAATTTTTGTATAAGAAGAACTTTGAGTTTGGATCAAAGATCCAGTTCAAGAGAAGTTGTGTTAGTGCAAGCAAAGGTTAGTTATGAAATGATTGTGGAAAGTGTACTGGTGTTCTGGCCTTTAGCTAAACAAAGAACACATCCACTGCCAGAGTTTGCTAACACGAGGGATTCTAAGTGCAAGCCCTGCCTTTTGGAACAATACACGTTTCATGCTTCTGATCTGGTGTTTCTCTTGTGTCGTGTACATGTAAGCTATACGTGTACCTTCTATCCTAACGTTTCCATACAAGACTTGCATGTATGGCAGTTGCCATATATAATGACCTTTGTGTGCTCATTTATACTTGAGAAGACACAGGCAATCTAATAGCTTTCGTATCTCCCACCCTTCATTTTAATACATTCTTATTCAAAGTGTGAAAAACAGCAGCTTGCTCTCTCTGAAGAAAATGGAAGTTGTAGAGAATTGCAGACTTCTGGACCTGGACATGACCCCCATTCACGTGCCTCCTCTGAAGTGCTGCTACAGAAGTGCCAGTGTTCGGGGGCGCTGAATTGAGACCATATGACTTAGCTGCCTGCCACCAGGCTCTTGGTGCCAGAGTAAGGAAGGGTTAGAAAGAGACTGTCTCGACCCCACATTTCCCTAGTCTTTAGGGGCCATTGAAAGTGTCTACCTAGGTCAGCACATGTTACTCAGCATGTAAATAAAAATAACATGAAGATAAACAGATGTGGGCAGAATAAGCAACCATTTTATAATGTTATTTATTTTAGATAGTGAAATAGAAGAAGAATCTGAAGAAGATGAAGATTATATTCCATCAGAAGACTGGAAAAAGGTATTTAGAACCTTATTTTTCCAAAACTTAGATAAATTAATATTTAAAAAACCAGGCCAGGGATGTAGCTCAGTGGTTCCGCCACCTGCCCCGCAAGCATAAGGACCCGAGTTCGATCCCCAGTACCAAAAAAAATTTTTAAAACCAAGTGTATTTATTCTTATGTATGTTGATAAAGTTGATGTGTAAGCCCTTTTGTGACATTTAAGCATTTGGTAAATGTTCTTATTTCCCCTTAAATACATCCAAATGAGAGGTGTGTTTATCTTCTTATCAAATAAAATGACAGAATGGGAGGAACTGAACTTTGCTAGGCGAGTCGGTACCCAAACCAACAGTAGACATCCAGACTTCTGAACTGGTCCTAAACTAATGCTGAAGTAGACTTTGGTTGCTCTGTCAAAAGTGTCACATTTGGTTTTTTAATGTATATGTAGTTTGAAAAAAATTGTAGAGGCTTTGATGCCTGTTAAGTAAATTTTGATAGTTTAGATTGCACGTTTTCCATTCCATATTACTTTATAAAGGGAAAACTCAGAATATTGAATTTAATGTTGGTATTTGTAACTGACCAGTCTTTGTTTAAAGAGACAGATTGGGCTTCTCTACAAGTATACAGAATTACATTAGCTTTTATTTCAGCCTTATATAACTAACCAGATAGTTAAAGAATTAATTTTAAGTTGCAGAGGTGTGGGCCTCTTAGGGAAACACATCAAAATGTGTGCAGACTTGGCTAAACCATTTCTGTAGAAGAACTGACATTATTCCTTTTGAGAGATGCTTACTAATCCATCCTCTTTTAAAAAAAATCTGTTTTATAAATTTACTATTTGTTTGAAAGCAAAATAGCTCAGAACATCAAATTAGTGGACTTTTGTACTTTTTAACAGGTTTGTTTAATTATTAGATTAGTTAATTCTGTTGGTCCTTTGGGTTTTGGGGAAAGTTTGTGTGTGTGCTTTTAGATGGCTACAGTTATCTGGTTTAGAATGCATGGGGCAGACTTAAAAAGAGCTGACCCTCTGATGATGATTAAGTAAGAGAACATCTCATATGTAGAGTTTCTGTTGGGAAGAGTTAAATAATTCAAATATACTTAGATCAGGGAAGAATTAAATAATTCAAATGTACTTAGATTGGGCCACCTAAGAGTCCCCAGGTTTCCTCGAGAATTAGGCTTCCAAAAGGAGTTCCACCTGGACACGCATTGTGTCCACTTGCAGCAGTGTAGAGGCCAGATACCTTTTAATATTTAGTGACCAGGGCCTGAAGAGCTAGAGAAACACTGTTTTCTTCATGCAGAAAGACTGAATACCTGATGTGTAGCTGTTAAGAAACAAGAGTCCCCCCCTTCTGCACTAGTTAGTGTTTTTGCTGCATGAATGGACATCCCTTTAAAGAAGTTAAATAACCTAAGTAAATGCGTTATTGGTGTTAAATTGAATGAGACAAACAAAAAGATGCAGGGTTAGGGAGCGCGACATCAGTGTGGCCAGAACAGTGAGGACAGTGAGCCCCGTGTTCATTGTTTAAATTAATCTGAGTGAGGGATGGGACTGAAGACAAAAAACCAGGATCAGAGAAGGAAGTTCCTTCCTATTGATGTGACCTATTTGGGCAAGTATTCAGTCCAGTTTTTAATCGAATTCCTGTACCATGCAGAAAGTGTAAGAGGAAAGACAGGCCTTTGGAGTCCTATCAAATTGCTATTTTACACCACAAATTCAAGTTTATATAACCCTTTTGCCAACATACATAAATTGCTTTCCCACCTGGGGTGTTTGATACTTTTTTTTTTTTTTTTTTAATGAAGAACAAAAGCTTGAAGGAGGCTAACAGCAGGTATGAAGGCTTTATTGCTGGGGATGATGCTAGTCCTTTCTCAGGAAAAATTGTGTAATAGAGCATGATTCAGTAAATCCAGATTGATTTCTTTCAGTGTGATTTTGCTAGATAAATAATTACCAAGATTCAAGATTCAGTTTTTGAAGGTGTACAAGTTGAAACTGGATTTTTATAGAAACTAAGGTAGAGGAAGCAGTTTAACTTACTAATAGTGTGTGCCCAAGAAAATGCTTCTGAGCTTCACCTTTTCACATATAATGTGGGAATAGCAATGTCAGTCTTTTGGGTTTGGTGAAGAGTACATGAAAATTATAAATAAGACTATATAATGACCTTAAATGCTGTTTCCCTTCCCTTTCGTACACTGCAGAAGGAATCAGCAGGTGGAAAGAAGTACTCGAAAGTCAGTAGAAAAAGGAAGTACCTTACCTTTAAAGTAGTCAGAACTTGTACGATCTGGCTTCATGTTAGCATCATTTGGAGAAATTTTAAATGCTGGCTGCAAGGCCTTGTCCATATACGCTAATATCATTGGTCTGAACAAGGCCAAGCACTGATACTCACAGGCATCCCAACCAGGGTTGATAGCTTGACTGCTCTTTGGTAGGCACAAATGAATAAAGTTAAAAGAGGCACAGGAAGTGACAGTAGAGGACTCTATAGTGGAAAACATTAGGAGAAATTATATTTGTGGAGGCAGTTTACTATGATACTCTTTAGAGAACTGATCATGAGAAAGGCAGGTTTCCTACGCAAGCCCAATAATAATTGTATTTACACAGAGCATGTCTGTGAAACTGTAATAGGTAAAATGATATCCTTCGTTACTAGGGCAATGATAACAGACAGGGACATTGCAGACCTCCAGAATCAGCACCCTTCCTGATTCCAAGTTCTGTGTGCTCTTCATCCCTGTGCACTCTCAAACCTCATTACTAGCCACCTCTTGTTGGCTTCTTTTTTTTTTTGTACTGGGGATCGAACTTGGGACATTGCACTTGTGAGATAGGAGGCGGCACCACTGAGCTAAATCTCCGGCCCTCTAGTTGGCTTCTTGAACAGCCAGTTTCACTTATTCTGGTTGGAGTATATGGATTTGATCATCAGATTTCCTGTAGTAAAGTTTAACATTGTTTTTATGGAGGACACTTTCTGTTTTCTGTGGGTTCAATGAAAGTCAAGCACTAAGCTGCCTGTCCGTTTGGTCCGTACTGAGCTTTTTGCAAGCCCTTGCATTATTCTCTTACCCTAAAGCTCTGCTTCCCAGACTCAGCCCCCTCCTGAGTTTCTGATGCACTAAGTCTGGGCACTTCCAGGTGACACTGCTGCTGCTGCAGTGCAGAGACCACTGTCTTCCATGTAGATGCTCTGAAAATACCCAGATTTGACTTTCAGGTTGTCAGGCTGTTTTGTGATTATTTTACTGAGTAATCAGAGTCCATGTCTTGAAGTAAAGTTTGTATTCATTGTCTGCATTGTGTTTCACAACATTTTATTAGGAATATTTTCATCCAGTCACATCCATTCATCTTCACCATACTTCTCTGAGGTGGTTGTTTGTATCTTTTATGACAGAAACTACAGTTACCCAAGAAGGTGGTTAAGCTAGAAAATGAATATAAAATGTTACTAGGTCTTATTAATGTTTTCTTTTAAAACAGGAGATTATGGTGGGCTCCATGTTTCAAGCAGAGATTCCAGTTGGAATGTGTAGATACAAAGAAAATGAAAAAGGTGAGTCAGTAGTGCAGTTACGGGGCTGGATTTAGGTTTTTGGAAGTGATGAGCTGTTACTTTATGTGTGAAGTGTGTTAAAAATGTGACAGTCTAGTAAATAACCCCTTTCATTTATGAAAGAGAACCCTATCTTACAAGAACTGTTTACTATTTTTTCACTTTCCTCCATATAAATCTACAAAAGAAAAATGCTTGTTTGCTCTTAAGCGATTTAAAACATCCCAACCATTTCTTTTAAAATTTCTTTTTTCCGTATTTTAAAAGCTCTAAAATTTACCCTTTTCTACCCTTTATAATTTAGTGGGGTTTTTTTTTTTTTTTTGGTACTGGGGATTGAACTCAGGACCTTGCACTTTCGAGGCAGGCATGGCACTACTGAGCTAAATACCCAACCCCTTATAATTTAGTTTTTAAAAGCAAGTTATTTTATGTCAATAATAGGTTTAAAAACAAACTGGATACTAAACAACTGATAGAAAAGCTTATTTGCTTTTGAAACTTAATATTACTAAAAAAGTATAATATGTTTTTACAATTTGGAATACCACTTGTATAGTTAAATTTTATATGATTTTTGTCATTTTATGTAAATGTAGTTCTAAAGTAAGTTGCACTTTGATTACTAAAAAATTCTTGATGAGTTTTAAAAAGAGAATCTGCTTCAGGTTACTCATGTAGGTTTCAGAAAGAATGTTGTATATCTTTTTATTGAGTTCATGTGTAGTGTGACATTATTCAAAATAATAAGTATATTTAATTTCTCTTTAGTGTTCTTTACTTTTAAGCTATGCACGTACAGGACCCTTTGGTGTTGGGAGCTTTTGTTCTTGTTTTGGAGGGTGGATGGTCTCTCCAAAAACTTCCTTGCTGTTCTAAATATGTACCTTGTCTCAGGTAGTAGGCCAGAGGCAGTCGAGGGAATGAATACCACAGGCAGTTAATTTTCATGACAGAACCGTTTACACACCACCTAAGTGTTCAACAGTTTGTGCTGGCTTTTTAAGTTAATTCTTGTAACATACAGAAACATTAAGGGTGCCAAAGGGCAGTGACCGTTTTATATTGAAATTCTCTGCATGTGTTCTATGAACGCATTTCACTTGCATGCAGAAATAAATGATCCACTGGCAGTTGAAATTTAAATATGCTTTACTTACAGGTATATTATAGTATTATGCTATACCTACACATAATAGCACATGTTCAGCATTATATTCATTCTTTCTGCAAATAAATGAACTTAAAAATTGAACATCTATATTGTTGTTGTTGGGTTTTTTACTGAATTTCTTTTCAGTTTTAGCTAAGAAAGATAGTACCTTCCTTAAAAGTTTTGTATTAATAGCTGGGTAGGAAACATTTCAAGTTAATGCTATGTTAAAGATAGTTTAAATGATCCCTTCATATATTTCACTTCTATTGTAATGTTAAATATCACAGTGAGGGCCGGGGATTTAGCTCTAGTGCTACTGCCTGTCTCACAAGCCCAAGGTCCTGAGTTCGATCCCCGGTACTAAAATAAAACAGTCACAGTGAATGAATGATCACAGTCTCTGATTTTAAAAATACTGCTAATTCTGGTTTAATGTTATCAATTTCCACGATTTAAGAAAGTAGTGATATATAATCTTGTTCAGGAAAGGATGTGATTTATGAAGCTTTCTTATCTTGAAAAGTGGTTTCATCGGATTCTGTGAATGTAAGACCGAAGGTAGACTTTAGAAAAGTGACATTGCTTTGACAAAGTCTCACAGGAGAGGCCTTTACTCCATTTTAAACCTGAAGAAATTCATACTTTGTCAGGACTTCAGGAAACCATTATATGATTTGTACTATAGTGTTAAAAATAAAAATCATCAAAAAGATAGTACTGATTAAACCACTGTTATGGAAAAAATTTCACAAAGTGTTTTCAGTCAGGTTGGTAAATACACCCTTTTTAATAAAAGTGCCCCAACACGTAGGTGTCTTTACTGTAGGAATTGTTTGACAGATAGATCAAAGACTCCTTTTCACTCACACGAGAAAACTGTCTCACCTGAATATCCTGGAGGGCCATGGGCAGATGTTTCGCTCTCTCTGTCTGATGGCTCTTCACCTGGCATCCTTCGCCTTCCTGATGCAAGCAGCTAAAGATTTGTTAGTTATGGGTACAGTTCACGCATGCTCCTTTGCACTGGTATCTCTTCAGCTTACAGAATCTCCTTAGCTGCACCTTGAGTAACATTTTCTTAAATTTGTGTGAGTTACTGCTCAACCCGTTCAGTGCACAGCTGCCCTCCTGTCCATGGGGCCGGGCTCCAGGACCCTTTGCCCCACTCCCCCTGTAGGCGCCAGCATCCACAGTGCTCAGGTCTCCTCAGGCCAGGTCCCTGGCACAGTGCATGCTCTACACCTTGCCCTCCTCCCATGTGCTATAAGTCACGTCTGGATCACTCTTAACCCTCATTGTGTGTAGATGTTCTGGAACTAGTTGGTAACTGTTGTTTGTGGAACAATCACAAGAAAAAGTCTCTAAATGTTTGTTACAGGTGCAGATTTTTTTTCTGAATATTTTGTGTCTGCCGTTGGCTAAATCCACAAATGCATAACCTACCGGTTGCAAGGTCCACTGTGTTATCACAATTTGTTACTCATCTTTCTGGCCTTAATAGTAATGAGTCGATTCTTCCCGCACAGGCTCTGAAAAACAGTTGGCACCTGAGTTAATAATCAGGTGCAGAGTGGTGTTAATAGAACTGGTAATCGAATCAAGACATTTGGCCCTGTATACATGACTTCTCTTTCTCTTCCTCTGTAAAACTGTAACAATAACATCTCCTTACCGAGTGGCTGTCATGATCGCACAGCTAACACTGAGCCTCACAGTCCTGGTGCATGCTAAGTGCTAGTAAGTAGCGTTAGTATTTGGTTGATGGTTAACCTTCAGATTTTGTTGACCAAATTTTCAGATGCCCTTTTGCTTGCAGGTGACAAAAACCCAGTTCAGTTAGCTTAAGCAAAAAAAAAAAAAATTTTTATGGAGTTGCTTTACTGGAAGTCTGTGCTGATACAGGTTCATTTAGAATTGGATTCAGGGGCTCTTAGGATATCATCTGTCCTTCCCCTCCTTTGATTCATTTTCAGATAGGCTAAAGTGGCCACAGGGAGTGCTTGTCATGTACCTTAACAGTTGTAGCTAGAGGATCAGCAAAAGCAAGCTTTTCCTAGTCGCCCTGGACTCCAGCAGAAGTCCTGGAGAGAGCCCCTGCTGGCTGGGAGTGAGTCGCACACCTGACTGGAGGAAATCACGGAGCAGAGAAGCACTTGAGTACTGTGGTTAGCCTTGGGTCGTTCATCTGGTCCTGCGTCTCCTGGGGGCGGTGGGTGTCGGCCCATCTAGACCAAAAGGCAGATGCAGAGATCCTGCCTCACAGAGCGGTGTGCATGACCTGTGTACTGGCCCAAGGCCCGCGCTGCTAACAGTGACAGTGCACAGGGCGATGCTCCACTACAGAGTCCCCCTAAAGAGACTGTCAGTGTCCAGATTGAAAACCCTGAACTAGATCAGTTGAGAATCAGATGAAAAAGTAGATTATTTAGGAAAAAAGAGAATTATTAACTATATTCCCAATCAGGTTTTCGTGCTTGCATGACATAAATTTTAGATGGCTACGAATTAAGCAGCAGAGAATAGTAAAGGACCTTGTAAATTGTTTCTCACATACATTTATACATAAATTTATACATACATTTATATATATACATATATATACATACATATATACATATACATATATACATACATATATACATATATACATATATGTACATACATACATATACATATATATACATACATTTATACATAAATTGTTTCTCACATACAGATGATTTTTCATGTTTTTAAATGTTTTTTGTTTTTGAGCTGGGGTCTCTGTTTCCCAGGCTCAGTGGTCCTTTGCCTCAGCCTCTTGCTTAGCTGTGGGACCACAGGCGTGTGCTGAGCACAATCTAGTTCTAATTCGTAAGGAACTTTATTTGGGCAGAAGTGTTCTAGATTTCAGGACGTTTTGGAGTTTAGGTTTTCCTATTAGGGATGCTCAGCCTGGAAAGTAATGTTGAAACAGGCATTTTTTTTAACCCATGTATAGGGAAAAGCGATGTGACTTAAAGGGCGTGTTAATTGGTCACAGTGCAGCCTCTGAGAATGTGATGACTTGGGGTTTCTGTTGTAAACCCCATTATTATACCATAGTCTTGATTGTAGCTCAGCGTTTAAGGCTTTGAAAGGATTGACTAGGTAGAGTTTTTACTTAGGCTTTATAAATGGAATAATACTTACTTTAGTAAAACTGGAAGCCAGCAAGTAAATATTTATTCGTTGGGCATTTCCTGATTGTAGCGGTTTGTATGCTTTTGTGGTGGTAGTCTCTCAGCTTCTTTTGCCAATCGTTTTTTTCTTTCTGCATGCATAACCACCCTGCTTGTTGCTGATGTTTCTCATTGTATCCTGGATAACAGCTGAAATGAGATGGTTGCACACCTTGCTACTTAAAGGGTGGCCCGCACCACCACCATGAGGTTCCTCTGCAAATGAGTAAGAAACACAGGATCTGGGTCCTGTTTCAGACCTGCCCTGCCGAGTCAGGATCATCAGCCCTGCTTGGTGTGGCAGCTCTTCTCGCACTTGTAGTCACGCGCAGATTGTTTTCCCATGATAGCCGGTGTGTGTATTTGGGCTTGTCTGTTAAAGGTTGCATCGTGTTTGGTAACTGGTTTAGAATGAATCACTAAGAACATTCCATTCCATTTCAGTGATTGGCAGCATGGTTGTGTCATTTAATTATAAATAAGTTTTCCCTTCTCTGTTGCTACTGTAGGGTTTTTTTTTAAACACTGTAGCCCCCCCATATTGTACGTAGGTGTTATTTCTCCTTTAGCTGTAGTGTGTTTTGTCACAATAGTGGAGTTCCAAATTTTTTGATCCTTTTGATATTTTGGTCATTCTATAATAGACATTCTATTAAAATAACTGTTTGTTTAGATTGTAATCAGAATTGATTACAGTATACACATAATGGGAAAATAATTTGGCCTGTGTCTGAAACCAGAGAAGGCAGTGTCCCTTACCTCCGTGGCCCTTACTGAGTGTCTTGCAGCTGCAGAAAATGAAGTGCAGAATATGGAGGGAGGCTTGGAGAGAATCTGGGCTGGCCGGCCAGTCCCTACCGCCCTGTCGTTTGGCGCCCTCTGGTGACGGGTGCCTGTGTGGCTCCAGGGAGGCCATGGCGTCCTGTGGTTGCACAGGGGAGCTACTGGGGCTTGGGACTCAAGTGCCTTTGCCGCCTTCTTCCTGAGACAGACTTACCCACCCCCAGAACAGCCTGTAGTCTGCAGAACCAAGCAGAGAACAGAGATCCGGAGCGGTGTGTACAGATTCACTTTATTACGGGTGTTACTGCCTGCACAATTTAAAGTTAACTAGGACCATCCCAGCAGGTTGGAAAGGGATGACGTTTGTTAGAGTCCTTGGAACTGCACTTTTAAAAAAGTATCATCTGGGGAAGCACTGCGGTAGGAGGGGCTGCAGAGTGAGTGTGTGTGGCAGGGGCGAGGTGATTGTATGAAAACAGGAAATTGCCTGGTCCATCAGACAGGCTTCAGTAACTGTTAGTTCCTTTTATTGAAAAGTGAATTTTGACAGGGTTATCCTTCATCTCTTTAAAATTTTTGTCAAGCAAGCTCCTTCCTACTGGCATTTTATTTATTTATTTTTAATTTATATATTAATTGGTACATTTTAGGTATAAAATACATTTACATTTGTCATTCGGTGTTTGTACCTGTACATGATGTATCTTGGTTCTTATTTTTTCTCCCATTACCTGTGCACCCTTCAGCCCCTCCACCCTTCCCTCTTTACACAGACTTTGATTCCTTTTTTTTTCTTTCTTTCTCATAATTTTTCCTTTTCCTATTTCAAATTATCAGTTATTCATTTTAATCATTTTTATCCTTATTTACACTTTCAGTTTCTCACACTAGAGAAACTATGCGATATTTACACGAGGGTGTCCTACTTATTTCACTTAAGTGTACGGCCTCAATATGCATCCATTTAGCTATAAATGTCTCTAGTTTCTCATTCTTTATGGCTGAGTAGTACTCCATTTTATTTAAACAAACACATCTTTATCCAATTTCCAATCGATGGGCACTTGGGCCGTTTCCAAGCTTTCACTATTACAAACTGTACCACTATAAACATAGGTGCACATATATTGCTGTGATATGATTCTTTTAATTCTTTGGGGAAGATTCCCAGCAGGGGCATAGCTGGGTCAAACGGTACCTCTAGTCCTAGCTCTTTGAGGTATCTCCATACGGATTTCCACAGTGGTTGCACCAGTCTGCACTCCCACCAGCAATGGAGAGAAGGGTTCTTTTCTCCCCACAACCCCACCAGCATTTGTTATTGGTTGATTTCTTGATAGCCATTCTTTCTGGGGTGAGGTGGAATCTCAGTGTTGTTTTTATCTGCATCTCTCGAATGACCAGTGAGTGATGTTGAACATTTTTTCATATATTTATTTGCTGTTTTTA